TTACCAGAGGCCAGTACTCTTTTAGTTGTGCAATTAAAAATTCAACCATGTAGCATTCTAAAGTCTGGGAATCGGAATCCGGACACATAAAACCAGGTGCTTCTCGGGATTGAGTTGACGTAACAAAAATTTAATTTCTTAAAAAATAATGCAAAATACTACGACGGTGTTCGTATGAACTCGCGGACTTTCTTTGGAATTCTCGGCATCATCTGCCGCACATTAAACTGGTCAACTTCAGCGGCCATTTTGGTTTTCCAACATCGAGCCATCTGGGCAGCGTCCTGAGTCGTCTTTCCAGTTTCGTTGGGTGGATAGACATCCTTGTCGTCGAAATCCACCATATTGTCGCGACTGTAGTGGCAGCTTGCCAAATCTGGTCAGAACTTCACTGGACCTTTTTGAGCCTTAATGGAAGGTAGTATACATTTCTCCAGTCTCTCTTGCTTATACAGCTTCGAGTACATCGTTGTTGGTGAAGAAAAGCTTGGTTTTGAGTCCGCAGCTGTAAATTCTTTGCCATCTTTGATCGTCAGTTTCCGGGCGAATTTATCGGCGAAAACAAACTTGAATTGGCTGGGGACATCATCCCGTCCCAGATAAAAATTTCGTCCGGGTACCTGCCTGAAATCCATTTTGACATTTGTTAGCGAAATTTCGTGCAGGATCAATTTTCTTTTTCTCGTCTTCCATCTAGTACAACTTTTTTAATACTGCACGTATCGAGAAGAAACTTTCACCACTGAAACACGTATACCTTCAAAACAAACCGGTGTCAAAACATTCCAAATCCGACGACAAGAGGTGCTGCTATAGAATAACTAAAGTGTCCGGATTCTAAGTGGGCCAGACTTTACTAGATATTTCAATCAAATATCAATCAGATTTAGCTTGCCGTTTTACTTGTCTACCGAGTTGAATTCCAGGCCAATCTGAAAGAATTTCTGGGATATTTCTGTGGCAGGAGAGTTCAAAGTGACAATCCTGACACTACCACTAATGAACACCTGGCTGAAAATCTCTTAAATGTTAGTCAATCATTTCTAAACAGAGCTCGAAGGGAATATCGATAATAATTCCATGGGAAGATTGTTCTGAATATACCTCATACAATTCTTTCTCTTCTTCTTCGCATTTCAATCTAAATGATTGTCACATTTTAGCTTATTGTGTGCTCTCAACTTTGAGATTTATGAAGAATACTCATAGATAATTTTAAAGAAAATACATTTTTTATTAAAATTATTCAAAACACAAAGATAAACGTACACACTTAGAAAAACTCATGTAAATGCAGGTGCTCTGAAAGTGATATATACGAGTGTCAATTTTGACATAAATTTACGTCATAACAGACGCGAAATATAGCTCAATCAAACGTACTTTTCGTTGAGCAACGAACTTTTCAGTCTCAGAGCACTTAACATGATATGTTTGTTTACGTCTCATCTTTTACGTCAAAGATGGATTCCCCTTCCTTCTCTCATTATAATTATAGGCACTTCCAACAGTAAATATATGAAAGTAGATCCCAGCGCAGCAAACATGGAGCTGCATGTGCAAAACGCGAAGTTTATGTCCGAGATTTGTACTCCGGAAAATTTGAAGTGATAGTGCAAGTCTGTGATCATGTCGATCATATTTGGACTCCGTCAAGTAGGATTAATATTCCTCTTGTCGGTCTAAGTGTCCCTAATATTGGGCCCATACATTCATTTCGAAAGAAAGCATTTTTTACAGTGCTGAATAGCAGATATTTATCGATGGGCTCAATCTTTAGATCCATAGACCAACATTAGAACCATTTCCCCAATGTCCTCAAGTTGTAAGTAAGTAAGAAAAGTAAACAATTTCAGCCTAATGGCCCATTTGGCCTAATGGAATTCTACCTAATGGCGTTCCGCCTAATGGCATTCAGTCTAATGACCAACATATTATTGCCAATTCAGAGAAAAATTAGCATTTGGCGTCAGATTATCAGCTTTAATAGCATGTTGTGGCTGTCAGTTGCGTCGAATTGTTTTCCCTAAAACGGTAATATAGAAAAGTCGAGAAAATATCGGATGGATAAAATCCGAGATGTATCATTTTGTAAAAAGTGTCGAGTGGTGCTCGAAAAGTTAACATCCTCTACATTTCTCCTCAAAACTGATGTTGCAAATCAAAAAAAAATGTGTAACGAAATAGTGTTAGGTTTTGAACGCTTATAACATTGTCATTTATGAATTTAACTAAATTTTAATTTACATAATTTTATTCAGATATAATGTAAGATTTGTTTGGTATAAAGATGATAGGTGTTGATCAAAGGTTAACTATTGAAAATTAATTCGCTAGTGTGAGATTTGTTGAGCATCTAGAATTGAGATTTAGATGTGTCGCCCCCCTTGGGTTATCCTGAGGTTAATTTCTTATTTTTTTTTCGCATAGAATTTCGTGGATCTGGGAATTTTTGAAAATAGTCAACCTAATTATTTTAAAAATCACCCAGCTTAGCCATTTCAGATCGAAATATTGTATTCAATTTAATGCATTTTAAAATCAAGTGGCTTTGCAATTTTAATTTGAAATATTTATATGTCCATCAGAACCTCAATTCTCATGAGTTGTTTTAATAGAGCTTATTCTGAAATGATTTTTATGTGTGAGGGTATTTTTGAAATTAATTGGGCTAATTTAATTTATTTTCGAAATCACCCGGGTTTGTCATGTCAACTATTTGTAAGCAAAATTGAACATCTATTCCCATTCATGTTTTAAAAAGAATTTGAGATTATTTAAAGCATGGACTTGCATGTATAAGGATTTTGAAAATAGTTATGCTAATTTAAGTTATGCCATTTCAAATTGTAATATTTATAAGTCAAATTGAACCTTGATTCTCAATAGTTGTTTCAACAATATGTGAGGTAATTTTAAACAGATTTCAGCATATATGAGGGTATTTTTGAAAAGAGTTAGAGAAATTTAATTCATATGACCAATCACCTGGCTTTGCCACTTCAGATTGAAATATTGATATTTAAAATTGAATTTCCATTCGCATGAGTTGTTTCAAAAGTATTTGAGGTTATACTGTAAAGAATTCCGAATATTTGGAGCATAGACTTTCATGTTTATGGGTAATTTCGAAAAAGTTATACATAATTATTTAATTTATGTTAGAAATCACCCGGCTGTGCCATTTCAGATTGAAATATTTATAAGCAAATATATCATATTAACAATATGATCCATTCATGCCTTTTCCAAATATTGCAATGGCGACCCGCAAAATATTGCTTCACAATCATTCAATTACAGGGGTGCGAATATAGCACATATTACAAAAGTAAGAGTCAAATTATTTTCATTAATTACATTGTGTATATTGCTATAAAATTTGTCTGACATGTCACTGTTGTCATCAAATAAAATGAAATACAGAAATACATTCATTTGAAATATTAAACAAATTTTCATTTGGTTTACCCCTCGTGACGATAAACAAATACATTAGTACCCTTTTTGGCCACAGAGGTGCTTTCGTCGCTAAAAATTCGGTTCGCCAGCTAAGCGAAAAAGTGGATCATACTGTTAATATAATATATTTGTTATAAGTCAAATTGACCTTCAATTCTCTTTAGAAGTTCCAAGTTCCATTTTTGGTTAGTCTGTAAAAATTTCTGCATAGCTTAAAGAAGTATTTTTATGTAAGAGGGTATTTTTTTAAATTAATTAGACTAATTTAATTTATTTAATTATAATTCATGTGATAATGGAAAGTTTTGTAATTGCTTTTCATGACCTATTGTTATCGAAAGGTGAAGATTATTTTGACATTGCAATTGCTGCTGGTCAATGATTAGTTGAATCAATGAACCACAATCTTATAAGACCCAAGTTAGCGACATGTACCCTAAATACCTCTTTTGAATTTGATTTTGTTCTAATTTGAGCCAAGAAATCATCGATAATGGTCAGTGTAGTTCTGGTAACTCATTATTATATTTTTGAATGTTCGATGCGTATAATAGTATCGGGCATGATATTGAAAATTGATATGAATTATATAAAATCATCGTGTCACTTCTACGGCAGCACCCGGAACATGTATGGTTGTAACGCCAAATATAGTCACAAATAAACTAATCGGGGATACCCAAAACATGTGCGTATGGAACCATTTTGCTCTGGAGACTCAATGTGATCAAAAATGTTCTTCTTTCGTAGTCTCATATGGTTTGATAGGTCGTATGATTAGCTTTGACTCAAATAAGATTTTGACCACGTCCTCGAAGGCACTCGGAACATGTCGGATGAGGTCATTGAGATCTTGGCTTTATCAATCTCTCTTTGAATTTAATTACCATTATATGTACTTTTACTTTTTTACCATTATATTGGCAACACTGCCAGCGCTGTCTCGCAACATGTTGTGAGACTCTCTTAGAGAGACAACACGTGGTTACTCAACGGTTAAATGGCTTTAGACCTTAATGCCAGTAACGCACCACGAAAAGGTACTCTACCAGGCGATCTACTAGGTGTTACTGGGTAAATCCTAATGCAGGAAACCAGTATTGTTTTAAATCTAAAAATAGCTTTCAGGATCACAGCAGGTGAAGGTATTGTCAATTCAGAGAAAAATTAGCATTTAAACTTACAATCGCAGCATGCTCCGTTTGTCAAAAATTTGACGCATGATGCTAATTTCTCCCCTTAACTGATAATATTTCCTTGTAAATATTGGTCATATGGGAACTAATATCAAGATTATCTATTCCTTTAAGGTGAAAGTTGATACAATCCACGAATGGCCATTATTATGTTTTTTTAACTGCCATTTTGAACTTTGACTTTACGAATCTTAGAAACTACAAATATTTGGCGAAGCCAATCTCCAATAATAACGGCCATTTATGGATTCTATCAAGCTTCACCTTAAAGTTATACGTACCATACTATAAGGCAATGAATAACAGAAAATTATTTACGAATTAATATTGAACATCACTCACCCAACCAATCCAGCACGATCGTCTCCAGCTCGGTGCACGCCGGACTGGCAGCCCACGAGAACCCGATGCATCCGATTCCGTCGCTCAGCATGTCGCCGAGGATGGACGGAAACGAGTTGCCCGACGGAAAGTACGCATGAAACCGCGGATGCTGCCAGTGTGTCACTCCGGGCATGATTTTGCTCTCCACATCCTCCATGATCTTTTCCCACGGTTCCGGATCCTCCGGGGCTTCACCCGGCAGCAGGTGCCGCAGATAGCCCGGTTCAACGCTGGGCGTAACCCGGCGCTGTTCCAGCGTTTCCAGATAGTTGCAGATGTACTCGACCATTTCCGTGCCGCGACGGCGAAACTCCCGGCTGTCCATATTTGGTGCAATTCGGTGGTGCGCTTTTTTTTTTCTCTGTGCTTTCGAACTATATTTGAGGGCACCTACATATATGGCCGGAGAGAAGAGGAATGGAATTTGTAAATAATGCCACCGCGCTTTGACTATGACCATTCGCGCTACGTGAATGGTCCATGCGTGTGAATGTGGAAATAGATCCGTGAATCAGTTCGGACAGAATGCTTTATTTACATACATTTTAAAAATAGACAGAGGATGCTTTTAATGACTTTTCCGTCAATATGTGAACACTGCGAACATTCATCGAGACTCGAATTACAATAAACGGAGTAAAAAATTCCGCCAGCATTCGGTGGAAGTGAGACTCTTGGGTTCAGGTTCAATCGTTGTTGGCTTGGCCTTTGAAATACATACGTCGTCAGGCTGCATAGGGGGGTGTAAAACTGTCGGTCCAGTTTTTCGCGGGAAATGATTCACTTTCCAACTGCGATGTAATGAGATATTATTTGTAATATCAGTTCGGTCGGAAATAGAGCATGATTGGTATCGATAAACGGCGTTGATAATTTCTTGAGAATCGAGAACATCTGTCTTATTGATTTCAGGCAGCCAGTTAATATATTCGTAATGGCATATATTTTCAACAATTTCATCTGGTCTGTACAATTGTAATGCCGATCAATTTCGGGAATTTTCTATGACATATTACAGTCTAATGTGTCTAACTTGCATACTGACAGATGGACCCCGGGAAAGTTTATTCGAAATTTTTCTTGGCGAAGAAAGTCTACGAGTAGGCCATTTGCTGTTGGCGCAGCTCCACTTGGTTATTTGGGTGAGATCATTCCTTTTTATTTATTTATACAGTAACCCATCCCTATAGTTAGGACATCAATTGTGCTTATCGTTTACCAAAACGAACCCTGCTGCGAACCCTACCCTCTTATCCAACATCCCAGTGATTCCTCGTGGAAGTGCAGAGGATTTCTCGGCTTCCATCAAAGCGAGTGTCACGTCAACACATTCCTACCCATTCCTTTCTTGACCTGCGTTCGGACGCGGCCGGCGCTGGTATTTCCTAGTTTGAGATCAAGAGTTTTTACACATTGAGGATGATTGCTAGTCCCAAGCATCGTCTATTGGTTCTCTGTGTAATTACAGCTGATCTGGCAACAACAGAGTAGCAACCGTGGGCGGTCAATCATGCTCTCATGCAGTGCAGCAAACGTGGAGTAACAATTTGAATTTTGCACGTGTCGTAGAAGCTGATATTTGAGCACTTAAAGATTCGAAGTTGTTTCGAGAATAAGGATGTCACAGCGATTCACCTTAATGCTCATGAACTTCTAGTCTAGTCTAGGTTTTGATCACTTCTCTGGGGGGTATTTGGAACATTTCTGGATGTATTTTATTGCTCTGAGCACTCGTAAAACAGTTTTGATTTGTTTGATGATACGTTCTGGTATGAATTACAAGTATAGACCATTTTCCCGAGGACATTAGGAACATGATCGGATGTAGCCTGGGTACTCAATATGACTGCTAGTTATAATGTTAATAAAGTTTCTTTACATGTAACATCAGAATCACAGAATTCAGAAGTTCTGCCTTTGACATATCGAATTATATGTAGAATCAAAATAAAACATCATAGAACATCGACCAAAGGAGGCATGGGCTTGTAGAAATATCGACTTATGGAGAATACGATATTGCCAATTCAGAGAAAAATTAGCATTTGGTGTCAGATTATCAGTTTTAATAGCATACAGCGGCTGTGAGTTGCGTCGTAATGTTTTCCCTGAACATGGGAAAATGAAGGGATCGCTGAATCTATCGAGTTATAGAAAATATCGAGTTATAGGATATCGAATTGTAGAGATTTGACTGATAATTATTGGTTACTGGCAAACATTCATCAGCTAGCAACTTATTTTGTTACAGTTTGTCAAAGGAGAAATATGGAATTTTATCAAAAATCCAAAAGTCACTTTTAGTTAGCGAACAATTTCTTAAATTAATAAGCCTTCAATGGTTAGGCCCTTTTTTGTGGTTGTCATCAAAGTGGTAGACCATTTGCTAAGCTTTTTCTTAACGTTAAATAAATGAAAAACAAATCATCGGCCCTGTCTCAAGCAGTAGGGCCTAGCCACAGACAAACAGACATAACTCTTAGAAGTCCTTAAAAGTTAGAAATCCTTCAAAAATATCATCAAGCGTATTTTGCATGCACACTAGCACTCTCTATCATACACATTCCCAAGCATTGGTTTGCATCCCTCGATATCACAGCCTTATTGCCCATGATTTAGACTTATAGCTTACTTTAAAACATTGGTAAAACTTGCAATACTAATTGGGTTCAGAAAAGCCGAGAAAACTGGAGCCAACGAACAGGCGGCGTCCAGCTTACTGGTGGAACGAGGAAATTAGCACCTTCCGTGCTACTTGTCTTCTAGCCAGAAGGCGTGCTCAGAGAGCAAGAACAGAAGCCAGGGCTGCACTGAAACGAAAGATAAAGCTGAGCAAGTCAAATAGTTTCAAGGAGCTGTGCCGCGACACCGATGCCAACCCCTGGGGCAACGCATACCGAGTCGCGATGGCGAAGATCAGAGGTCCATCGAAGCCGGTTGAAATGTGTCCCAACAAGCTGAAAGTCATCGTGGAGGGACTTTTCCCACAGCATGACCCAACGAACTGGCCACCTACGCCATATGGCGAGGTAGATGAAGACAACGTTGAACAAGTCTCCAACGAGGAACTCATAGCAGCAGCGAAAGGGTTGAAAGCGAATAAAGCTCCCGGCCCGGATGGACGGGCGTTGAAGGCGGCGATCCAGACATTCCCGGACATTTTTAGGATGGTGCTGCAGAAATGTCTGGACGAGGGTCAGTTCTCTGATAGGTGGAAGGTACAAAAGCGGCCAATATGCTTGCTGGATACTGTCGGAAAGCTCTTGGAGAGGATCATCCTGAATAGGCTGACGAAATGCACGGAGAGTGAACATGGATTGTCGGAGAGGCAGTTTGGATTCCGGAAAGGGAGATCGACGGTGGATGCAATTCGGACAGTGATTGGCAGAGCAGAGAAAGCTTGAAAACAGAAGCAGAGAGGCAATCGATACTGCGCCGTGATTACGATTTATGTGAAAAATGCATTCAATAGCGCCAGCTGGGAGGCCATCGCCAAGGCGCTCCATAGAATGAGGGTTCCAGACTACCTCTGCAGGATTCTAAGTAGTTACTTCCAGAACCGGGTCCTGGTCTACGTGACAGACACGGGGCAGAAATCGCTTAGAATCACGGCGGGAGTTCCACAAGGCTCCATTCTAGGTCCCACGCTGTGCAACGGAATGTACAATGGCGTGCTGACTCTCAAGCTGCCCAAAGGAGTTGAGATCGTTGGCTTTGCGGACGATGTCGTCTTGACGGTAACCGGTGAGACGCTGGAAGAAGTGGAAATGCTGGCGGCCGAGGCGATAGATACGATTGGTAACTGGATGCAAGGAGCGCTTCGCAGATAGCCCACCACAAAACAGAAGTGATGTTGGTCAGTAACTGCAAAGCAGTGCAACGGGCAGAAATCACCGTTGGAGAGCACACCATTGTTTCGAAGCGCGTGGTAAAGTATCTGGGAGTGATGATCGACGACCGGCTATACTTTAATAGCCACATCGAATATGCTTGCGAGAAGGCGGTGAAGGTCATCAACGCAATAGCCAGAATCATGCCGAACAATTCTGGTCCAAGCAGCAGCAAGAGGCGTCTTCTGACTAGTGAGTCCTCATAGATACTAAGGTACGGAGGTCCAGCCTGGATTGAAGCGCTGAAAACGAAGCAGAACCAAAGGAAATTGAGCAGTACGTTCCGGCTCATGGCCATGCGAGTCGTGAGTGCGTACAGAACCATTTCGATGGAGGCAGTATGCGTTATCACCGGTATGATCCCAATCGGCATCACCTTGGCGGAGGACTACGAGTGCTATATGACGAGAGAAACCAGAGGAGTACGAAAAATGGTGAGAACGGAGTCGATGGCTAAGTGGCAGCAAGAGTGGGATGCAGCAGAGAACGGTAGATGGACACACAGGCTAATACCGACTCTTTTGACCTGGGTGAACAGGAAGCATGGAGAAGTCAACTTCCACTTGACGCAGTTCCTGTCTGGTCATGGCTGCTTCAGAAAGTACCTGCATCGGTTCGGACACACAACGTCACCCTTCTGCGTGGTCTTCGTGGTCTACGTGGTCTTCGAATGTCCTAGATTTGATGATGTGCGAGAGGATATGCTCGCCCTTAGCACGGAGAATGTCGTCGAAGAAATGTGTCGAGATGAGGGCACCTTTAACGCCGTCAGCAGAGCAGTAACGCAGATCATGTCAGCGCTGCAGCGAAAATGGCGAGAAGACCAACTAGAAAGTAGTAATGTGCTAGCACAAGTGCGAACTGAAAGCCGAAGCCGGGAGAACTCTCCGTCAGAGTAGGCTGAATCCACCACCGGGGATAACCGAGTAGAACGTGACGCTGGGAGCTAAATGGCTCACAAATTGGAGAGACGATCAGCGAAATGGAAGCGCCAATTAGCTGAGGTAAAGTGAGGTGCGTAGTGCACGGCCCCCTCCGAAGTAATACGACAAGTGGTTCCGCGGGAAAAGGACAAGGCGTCCAAGGAGGTTTTAGTGCGGTAAGAATCCCACACACCGTGTCACCGCGACTGTTGTGCGCCCAGTCGTCAAGCGGTGGCACGAGGTTTCCTCCTTGCCAAAAAAAAAACACACACACACACACAGTTTAATGTAGATCACAATCTTCACCAACTTGAGTGGTTCATGATTCAAGGACTGCAATATATTATTACAAAATGCTTCGTAAGTTTCCTTCCACCTGGTTGCTCCATCTTATCCTAAATCAAAAGTACCGCAATTCTAGACTCTTGCCACGAAAAAAAAAAGTGAGACGCCTTTATTGCGGTATTTTTTATGTATGCCTGATTTTTGTAAATCATAGGTCTGACACAACACGATTGTCCTGTTCCCGTGAAGCGAGCTAGATCGTAGCACCGCCTCGCTTTTTGCATTTTTTTAA